CACAAGACCTTTTTAAAAATCGAAATATTAAATGCATTCAGATCACCAACTGACCAAACTTAAAATTTGAACTAAATACCTAGAAATATTAGTTATATTTTCAATTTCCCGAAAAAATAAATGAAACTCTGGTTCGATTTGAAGAATTAGATTTACCAAAATCTGGGCCGGCTTTAGCTCTTTTAGTAGCCTAGTGCAAGAATTATTTTGGCGCACCTCTCTCTTGAACGACTTAAACATATAACTTAAATACAGGGACGTCACGAAGGGGTGGGCAATAAGGGCAGTTGCCCAGGGCCCCGCGCCTTAAATTATAATTAAGGCCACGTGATTCTGATTTAACTGAACCTAAAATATTTTATTAATATAAATTATAAGACCCAACATTAATTTTGCCCAAGGTCTCGCAAACTCTAGCGCCGTCACTGCTTAAATAGACAATTTGGAGTGCTGAAGAGGCTCATTCATAATCAAAAATGCTCAAAATAATTTTTCAAACTACCATACTTGCTACATAAAGGTATGTAAATCATATAGAGAACATAATAAAAATAATAATATAGTAATATTTTATAAAATTATAATTGTACCTACAAACGCAGCCACTACTTGCATGTTGATATAATAATAATAATAATAATAATAATAATAATAATAATGATACAATTAATTTATATTAAATCACACAATGAAAATTATTATTCTTTCTACCTATAGTAGATAATTTGCGTCGCTAACGTTTGATCATATTTATTTCTAATTTTAACGTCTCTCACGCGCCCTATGCCGTCGCACGCGTCGATCGTATTTAAAGCCGGTTCTGACCAAAATATACATATAAAACAAACTGAATTCGTTGAAAATCAAATATTTATCACAGTTAATACATGATAAGAATAATTAAAATTGATCGGCTTTTAAATGCACATTAACCGATATTTTAACCCAATATAAGTTTATTTAATCCATAGTATTTCAGTTTTTACCAAAACATCGGTAAATTAAAATTGGTAATTTAAGATATGGTCTAAAAACAAATATATTTTAATTTAATTATAATAATTAAAATTAAATTGATTTTTTTATGTATACAATTTATACCATAATTATATAATTTTTCTTCTAACTATATTATTTTAAATTTATAGATAGGTATTAAATAAATAACACAATATATTGTATAAAATGTTTTTTGCTAGGACTCTATTTACCTAAATACTATTTTTTTTTCGGGATACAACTTAGGTACCTATTACTTTTGTTTTCGGGACCAAATTTACCGAGAACAGGTCATTTGGGACCCAATTTACCATCCGCTACAGATATATCTTAATCACCATCATATGTTCTAAAAAAATGCATACATAAATTATACTCATTTTCAAAGAACGTTATTAACATATGTTAAAAAAATGTCTAAACAGTGGTGTAGCTTTAGTCCAAACCGTCCTGCGCCCATCGAGAAAATACGCCTCTTAGGTATATAAATAAATATTATAAGATTTTTTCATGAGTATCAGTCACCAGAAATCAAAGAATATTATAATATATGTGCTTAATATTAGCTAGACAAATCACTCTGTTATTAGTATAATATATATATATAAGAATAAGAATATTTGTTTATTAAACCAAAATAGCAATATTTGTAATAACTAGGGCAGAGGACTTGTAGCTCTAAAAAAAATCGCCAAACATGCAGTTATATACACAAAATATGCATTTTAAAATTAATAATATGCATTAAAAATATACATTTTAAAATAAATATTTTGGAAAAAAAAATAAGAATTTTTTCTTCTGTAAGTACCTATTAATTTAATGAATGTTTTATTTAAAGTTTAAGTACAACTTACATGTTACAATAATTATTGAATTATTTGAATTTATGTATTTATGTGTTTTAACCATTTAGTTATAGGTTCTGGAGGAAGTGAAAGATCAGGTGCGAGGTACCGTATTTTTAAATATTACTACACGAGAAAGCGCTTTAAAAAAAAAAAAATACATTAGAATTTAATAACATTATTTTGGTTGTATAAAAAAATAAAAATAAACGTCGACGAAAAAATATTGATGAAATAATAAATTATTTAAAATATGCATATAAAAGTATAAAATGGAAGAAATATGCCTTAAAAACTAACAAAACTCAAAATATGCATTTATGTGCAAAATAAAATTTCAAAACTAGCTTTGTGAAAGAATGAAACGTACCTATTTTTTTCGTACTCTGCTATTTTTGTGGCTGTATGAAATACGCAAATACTATAAGTCCTCTGCCTTAGTAATAACTAGAGTGCGGATTTTTATGCACTTAAAAGTATATGTCATATAATATGCAGTAAAAATCATGAAAATATGCAAAAAATATGCAGTCAAAATCATGAAAATATGCAAAAAATATGTAAGAATTTTTTATTTATTTAAAATTTATAATTAAACGTATAAAAATTAATTACTTAAATACTTAATACAAAAAAATTTAGGGAATTTTCTGAACTTAATTTATTTTTAAAATTTTATTTATTATTAAAATAAATAATCATATGCATTTCAAGTTTATCTTCTGTGAAGCTGTGTCGTTTATCGGTTTACATATTTTTAAAGACTGAAAACGAACCCTCGATGTCAACCGAAGTTATTGGGGCATATTTGAAGCAAGTGGTATGTCGATAATCGACTGACACAGCAAGAGCGATTAAGTTTACGTCGTAATCGATTATTTATTTTATTACTAAATATATATATAAATTATTATTTAGTGACTATGAAATTTATTTTTAATTTTTCTACTAGACAAAATATTATTTTATACATTTTTTTTTTTAAATTTTCACTTCAATATGCAATAAATTTTGAATTTTGCCAAAATATGTAAAAATATGCAATAATCTCTAAATATGCAGAAATGTGCAAAAAAAATTTCACCATTAGCTTCAAATTATGATGATTCGTGGAGATAACTGACAAAAATCCAAAAATATTGAAAGGAAAAAAATATGCAATTGCATAGAAATCCGCGCTCTAGTAATAACTTACTACATACTCGTATTAATATACATTAGCTTAATATTAGTAAATCAAAATGTATTTTTTCATTTAGTAACTAATACACGAATATTGTAATGATAAATTCCTAGTATGTATGTACAAAACTATTATATTAACATATTATTAATGTCGATTTTAAAAATATAATTAAATCATAAAAATATATTTTTGTTTTTTCGCTTCATAATGTCCCTAAAACACATATATAGAACTTGTAGGAAAAACATTTTTTCTTGATTTTTGTCCAGAAAAGATATCAATAAGTGTATCAAAATCCAATGAATGTGCACGTTTCCAGTTTCAATATCTACTTAAATGGGCTAAACCGTTGCGATGTTGTTGACTTATTATGCTTCATAAATAGTTTTTAATAATTTTCAATTTTGAAAAGAGCGTTCAGAAGTTTATGTTGTAACAGCTAATGTTAAAAATATTACAAGACCAGTATGTACATATAGAAAAGTTGTTATAAGTGTACTATGGTTAGGGTCGGATTTAGGATTTGCTTTGTGGTGTGGGCTCTCCAGGGAGCTTTTAGAAAAAAGGAAGAACATATTCACAAATAGAAACTAAGCCCATTCTAAAATATAAATTTTATATGTTTTATCAGTTTATCAGTTGACATGTTATTATATATATATACATATGTTATTATATATATATACCTATTTTGCAAAGTTATAATCATTCATAAGATCGATCAAAATTACGATTTAACTCGCATAATATTTCTTTTTTGACACAATATTTTGCTAGTCACTGACACCTATTTTTCAACTTCATCCTATGGGAATTCTGAGCCCTGGAGCAATGAATAGTGTGTGTGAGACGCAGAACTATTAATCTGGGAGCGCCCGAAATCGGTCCGATATCTTATCGGATCGATATACTTGCTGGGGCCGTCGTGAATACGTATCTCGAGATCGGCGGTGCTATCTTCGAATGACTCCCGTTCGTGCCTTAACCGTTGCGTTCATTGGATTGTATTTTTTAGTTTTTTTTTTGCGATTCGCCACTGACCACGAGGTTTATCTCTGGGATCTATTCTTGTTTGTTGGAGTCTCCGTCATTTCCGGTCGTCAGTATACTTGAGTTTCCGTCGCACGTGTTGAGAATTAGCCATGGTCGCGTGAGATTGAATCCAATTCTCGAGTAATGAGAGCTGTGCCTCCCTTATTATTATTATTTTAATTGTAGTTTTCTCACATATTTTGTTCATTATTGCAATCAGTGTGAAGACGCCCACTTGAAATTATTTAAATTATTATTATATTTTAATATACAGCTATAAAAAAATAATTAAATTGTAGTCTTTCCATTTTTGTTATTACGAAACGGAAGTCATCCCGCTACACCCTGACCGAACCGAAAACGACATGGAAGTCTTGGATCTCCATATTTATTATATTTTAAATTGCGTACGGCAAAGACGTAAGTGAAGTGCAGCGTCAACTTAAGCGCAAAATAAAAAGCATTAATATTCTGTTAACTATACATCTAAAAATTAAATAATATTAAGTGTGGTTTTGATAAAATGATAATCAATTTTTGAGAAGTGACATACAATAACTATTAAATATACTGCAAATGAACACCAAATATTCAATGCTAGTTAAATAAATAATAAATACACATATAAATAAAGCAACATCTATAAAATCGCAATGTATTAAAAGTAATTCAACATAGTAAATTTATATTATAATAAAAAAAAAAAAAAAAATCAAGTATAATAATAACACTAGAATTTAAAACACACAATTTTTAAAATTCTGAATAGTAAAATTATTAGTAAATGGGATACACGTAGTTTATAAACTACAATGGTATAGTTTATTGATATTTGTACAAAAAAATAAAATGCAATGAAAAAATATAAGAAAATGTTAAAATCAAAATAATTATAAAAACAGTGAAACATATTAAATTAACTTTAAAATATAATATTATATTATAACATTTATATTTTATTGTGACAAATAGACTAATAGAACAGACCATCTCGAGGCTTAAAATTAATCACTACACACGATCCAAATATTGATATTTAGTTTAATAACAACTGGCGATTACAAATTATTTATTGAATTATCTGACAAAAATAATTTTTTTTGTTTTAAACACATACTGGTGGCGTTTAAAAACTTGATTGATAGCTAACAAAATGAACAAGATTTCTTGACTTCAGGATTAGGACCCGATAGTTTTACAAGATCAGGTTGATCAGTTTCATCAGCATACTGGCCCATCATTGAGTTGATTAAAAACCTTAAACCACGACGGTCATTTAATTCAAATCATAGGTATTATTAAGTGGTTATAAAACATTAGCTTACTGCATAGAATCATTCACCATCAGTCCATCTTTAGCTGAAGTTTCTGTCCAGCCGATAAAATTGTTTTCCTTGTAGAACGCTTCAATGTCCAGTTGGTCGATTTGCCGCTGAGGTAAATCACACTAAAACAATTACGAAACAAAATCAGTTAAAAATTATAGTATTGTGTTATATTTTAAAAACATGAGAATATACATTAGGCCAGTTGTTCTTAAACTGTGGGTTGTTTATTTATTATATTGGGAAGAGGCATGAGCTTTTTGTGTAAACTATTTTTATATAAGTGTTTAGTTAAAAAAAAAATCCGTATTGTATTACAAATTTTGATTGAAAATGTTTACACTTAAGACTTAGGGGGCCATAAGAATTTTAAATTAAATTAAGGGGATACATAAAAAGTTTAAGAAGCACTATATTAGGCAATTATTATGTTCATATAAATTTACACTGTAAGTTAATTAATTTAAAATTCACTCGCTATAACTCAAGATCAAAAGTACGAATATTGAAGTGTAGCCTATATTTTTCAATGTCTAAAAATAAAATTATTATAAGTTTCCAAATTTTTTTATTCAAAATTGTAAGATTGCAATTTTGTGAAATTTTCTAGTGTTGATATTTTAGAAATAAAAAAATTTTAAAATAGTTTAATTTTCAATGAATAAGAACAATTTATAGTTTCAAAAAAAAAAAAATCATACTTAAATAAAAGATTAATGAATACGTGAGTATAGACAGTAGACGTAGAACGTAGTTTCAAATATTTAAAACAATTCACTTGCGATTTATCTCTCCTTGAAAATAAAAGGTGTTAATTTACATTAAACTAAAACTGACAGTGAAACGTATTGATTTTAGAAACCATACATGACAAGAGTGCAATTTTGTCCACTATTTTTGATTTTGACCTTCACTCTGTCCAAAAGCGGACAAAATTGACAAAATGTATAAAATAGATAAAACTGACAAAACCTTGTAACTTTTAATATTATAATACAATATAAAACTTTGCAAAATTATAACGGATTTTGACCGGTTCAAACAAAATACATTTAATGTTGATATTGAACTGTTTCATTTTATATGTGTGTACAATTTTATTAATAGGGCTCGAAAGTTGTAGGAGCTAAAAAAGGGAAAATATACACGAAAAAATTGCGAAAATGTAGCAAAATATGCATTAAACATGCAAAAAAATTTAATAAATATGCAAAAAAAAAATATTTTGAAGTTCGAAAAAAAAAATACATCTGAAGTCGTTTAAAATCAACAATATACACAAAAACTATTTATAACTGAAAAAATGTATAGTTGGTTGGCATTTTGACGATAAGATAAAAAGTACTTAACATAAGTATTTCGGCATTTTAGCATGATAGACTAAATGCGTATCATATCGTTATTAAATTAATTATTGACTGTGACTATGACAATAAATATTTTCGTTGATAACTTTGAATTTTATATAATCAATATTAATTGAAATATATAGATGAGGAAAATAAAATATTTAAGTTATTAACATTTTTTTTTAGAAAAATATGAAATATGCATAATATGAGTGCAAAATCAATGAAATATGCATTTTTTTTAGTTAAAATTGATAAAATATGCAAAATATACATTTTCAATTTTCAATTTTTTAACTTCACCATTGTATAGTTCATATTTCTAGCTTGGTCTGCTACAAATTGGGAACATACAAAACAATATGCAACTCCTAGAACTTCCGAACCCTAGTTATTATTTTTCACCAAAAGTAAATAGTGACTAGTTGTCATTTGATGATTTACTAGGAACTTAAAATTGTATCATACGGGCATAAGCATACTAACGAAGGGGGTAATGGGATTTAATCCCCCAATAAGTTATTTTATTTTATTTTTTTTTCCAATAAATTGATATTGCAAGGTATGTGAAAATTAATTTTCTTATTGTATAATTTATATTTACAGTTACAATATATACGTAAATATTTTAGTTTCACCAAAAAAAAAATTATTAATTATTACGAGTATTTATTGACATAATAATAACAAACTCATTGGTTTTTTATTAAATTTCTCCTACCATTGAAAATTCCTAAAAACACCATTTGACGTGGTCCCGTAATAGCTAAGGTACTACATTATGTCACCACTATCGCGGACCCGCACTCACTTTTTACCGAGACAAAATCCGGGTGACGACACACCAGTTCAGCAAACTCCCATCAAAATTTAACGTAGCACGCTGGTGAATGATCCTCAGTGCAGGTGCATAGACGAACATTTGGTTGAATTTATTTTTTTTTTTTTGGGGGGGGGCTATAATAATTCAATGTAAAATAACCCGTAGGAGCTTCGCCTTCACACAAGTAACTTATCACTATTAAAAATATAGATATGTTTAAATTGTATTAAAACAATACTAAATAACGTATACTTAAAAATAATTAATATTTTATTTTAATGACAAATATCTATTTGTATCAGCAAAGATATTTAAAATATCATCGCTTTTAATATTTTTCGATATATCTTTTTCAATATTGAAAGATCGCTAAATTTAACTTGAACCAACGATGTCCTAAGCCAAGTTTTTATTTTTTTTCATTGTACTGAAACTTCTTTTGCAAATAACCGAACTAATTGGTATTGTTAATGCTATTATAAATAGTTTTTTATTATTTTTTATCTTACGATTTTCAAAAAAACGAACAGATAATGATAAAAACAACGAATAACATTTCTAACAAAGTTTCGATTTTGGGGGATTTTTCAAATATATGGGCTAAATATAAACGGATTACATTTTAGAATCAAAGTCGATATATACTATCATGTTATAGGTATACATTGCCAGGAATTTCTTTTATACCTAAATAATTTTTTGGGTAATAGAATTTATTTATCACAAAAAAATTCATGAAAGCAACACTGAATATATATTATGTAAATAAATTTGACATATTTGAATCAACTAATAAACGTTTATTGTTTAATTATTAAGTATGGAGTAATTGATTTTATTTTACTGATAGGTACTCAGTCATTTTTCGAAAAGTATTTTTTTATCACTTTTATTAAATATGTAACAAATTGTGAAAGTGTTTGATACTTATACCCAATATATTATAACTGTAAGTATAGTTACATGTTACATGATTCCATTATTACCTGGCACATTTTTAATTTATCATAAAATCGGATAAAATATTCAAATTCAGGATTTATGTAGAACTCAATTCAGAATCGTTTAAAATTTTATTGCTCAAATGACCATTAGAAAAATTAGCACATAGTGTTTCTAATAAATAAAACGTATTTATCGCATTCTTAATTTGTATTGCACACTAAAATAGAGGCCGATTTATACGCAACTGTTATTTGAATTATATACATATATATTAATTTAACACGCTTTTTTTGTATATATATACATGCTGTATATGAACTAGCGAATTTCCAACTGTTTTTTAGCATATCTACTTCTCATATAGTATATCTTTGAACAAGAAAAAAATAGTAATCTACTTAGTAACAAGAATGTAACTATACACTCATTAAAACAAATTATACGCCAGTAATATTTTTTCCGTAACAACTTGTACGACTACAAACTTTTCTAGGGCTTCCAATGATATAGTTTCGTGTAAAATATTATACTACTTATAAACTTATTATTAATGTTAAAGCAAAACACATCCATGATTTTTAATTTATTCATTTTGATTAGTTTTTGTCTTCACAGAATACCATAAAGTATATTTAATTAATAGATAACTAACGATGACTGTAGGTCATCAACTTCATAACACAATATCGAGGCTAATGGACAGGAACTACTTAACTACTAAACCATTCCTTACTGAGTTGCAGAACCCTAAAGTATTGTATTTTGTGTTTTTATGTATATAAATATAATAATCGGTTTTATATCATAATGTCATTGATTATATATTACTAATAATATATAATGGTAATATGTATTGTTAAAATATAATGAGGTTAATTACAGAGATAACTTAATAGTTGTACACTAGCATGATTTTTAATTTTAGGCTGTACTTAATTTATTTAATATTTATATAATTCTTGTTTGTTATTTCTATCTTGTTTAACATACGTTATTTCATTTTAAAGTCGATTGTTTATATAATTTACGAATTTAATATTAATGTTGTTGTTACAATAATAACTAATAAGTATTATGTCCTTACTTTATTTCCCAACAACATGCATGGTATAGGACTGCCATCCGATTGGGTGCATTTGGCATCAACATCTTTTTTCCATTTAAGAGTATTTAAAAATGAATTCTTATTTGACAAATCAAACATAATCACACACCCATGGGCGTCTTTATAATACACGCGAGTCATCCATGTAAATCGTTCTTGACCTAAACATATAAATTATACAGTTATAAAACCGTACATTTGCGGTTTAAATATAGTAAAAATAACATTAATTACTAGATAAAAAACCTATATTTCTTTTGTTTCATACGAAAAATCGGTATTCTATCATATGACTAAAAAAATCTCGTATTCAGATAATTAAATAAATAATTAATTTAATATAAAATTACGTACAAATAAAATATTTGAAAATGCGTTTTGTATTTTTTTTTTGTTTATAAAAACATATTTACAATAATAAAACTCATTTGAAATTAAATGTCATTGGTAATCAATTTATGACTTTAAAGTTGGTAGAATATTTAAAACTATTTAAATGAATTTATATTTTTGAATAATTATATACTTATAGGGAAAATACATTATACTAATAATTGACAAATGGAATGAATATAATTTTGGATTGAAAAAGTTATATGGACGTAGTAAATAACTTAGAATATAACATACTAATACGTGATTAAATTTGTATCAATTAATTGAGTTATTATATTACCGACAAGTATTAAAAAACGACATAGTTTAATTTAGTCAAATATTATCCACATATTTTTAATAGTTTAAAATAATAATTAAATATAATTATGCAACTTGTTATTTTCTTGCGTAAGACATTAATAAAAATATATAAATAAAATCGTTATATTGTTAATATTAACCAAATAAGACATCTACCAACCTACTTAAAATTTTTAATTTATAAAAGTATATTTTATGAAACGGAAATCCTGAGATTTTATTTTAATGAATAAGATATTAAATATACATAAAGAGTAAATTATGGTTTAAATTATTTAAGACAAAAAACAAACCTGCTATGTCCCATAGTTGTAACTTAATAGTTTCCGTATCGGAAACTTTAATGATTTTTAATGCGAAATCAACACCGACGGTACCCTTGTACTCTCTACTGTACGACTTTTGAACATATCGTTTAACAAATGCAGTCTTGCCTACAGTAGGATCTCCTATTATAATTACTTTAAATAATTTCTCTGGCATTATGGTATCTGAAACGTATACGAGTACAATCTAATAAATAAAATCGCAAAACAATAAGTTCAATGTATTAAAAACTAGCGAGTAATAAAATTAAAATCCTAATTTTTTTAATATAATTGAAAAATTTAAAACATTTGATTAAGGTTTCTTCAATATGTTTTTATTTTGACAAAATTTATTTATCAAAAAGCAGACATCGTTCAAAATTTGAAAACGTTTTAAAATAACAATTTAGTAAAATATATTATTTTAATTAGATTAAAAATTACTGAATTTGTTGTTTAAATATGACAAGATTTTTTTTTTTATATTACTTTTATCCAAAAGATATTACTGCTAGACAATTATGTGTTTTTTATAACGAAATTTAAAATTACTTATTGATAGCTTCTTACTGGGAATCAACAAACAACAGGAGTTTTTAAATTTTATTTATATATTCTATTTCAATTTAGAAAGATATAATCATTATTTATTTTATTTATTTAAATACATCCTCAATTTTTCAAAGGAAGTATCCCAGGTGGTTTTGGTGAATTTAAAAACAAAGAAGAATAGTATTATAGAAGTTTTGGTGTACTCCAAATTTATCAATAAGCACTATACACATACACTTAGAGTTGTTTACATTAGTTACATATACACATTATAATTATCATTTACACGTCATACATCAATGATTATTGCATGATATAAAATATGAATTCACTTATAAGTGACTTAAAAAAAAACCAATAACAAACAATCTAATTAAAAGTAATTATTGCATTACCATGAACACAACAAATTATAAATTATTAAACAAATTATATCATAGCCTAGTGCAACAAGAATGGTTGTGGCAAATATTTATACTTAACTAAGAAAAAATAGCCTTCTAAATAATTGAACTTAAAATCATACGTGGTCATCCATGTATTTGTTACTAAGAATAATGAAGATATAAAATAACAATTTTAAAAATTTAGTTACAGTCGGTATACCGTATGTGCAGTTATAAATGTAATACATACAGGTATATCTGTAATGCAGCATGAAATTACATATATACGAGTATATGAATATTATTTCGCTTGTATAACATTTGCAATTTGTATGAAAATCAAAAAGGACACCGAATTAAACCCGTGATGATAAGATTTATGTCTTCAATTTGGTAAAGACTAACATAACTAAACATAACGATGTATATTACGCAGGTGGATCTAGTTATATTACGGTATTAAATCGAGCACATAGAAATCCTAGCCGAATTATTTTCATTATGTGATAAAGATATTCAGCCAAGTCTTTCAAATACTTAAATAAGCATTATAAGTATACAAATTAAAATGCGTGTAAAAAATAATATATGATATTGGTTAGATACAACCAATATTTCCCTTTAAATATATCACTCAATGCCTTTATTATATATATTAATTCAAAGTCATAGAGTAGTCAATATTTTATTCAATAAATAAAATTAGTATAGCATTTATTACATCTACAGTAAATAAATGTTAATTCGTAATTAATGAAACAAGCTATAACTTATCAAATCTTCTAACACTTAATGTGTATTTTAAAAATAAATGTAGCTTTTAAAACACAGAAGATATCATTATATAAAACGATATTTATCTCAGCTACATTTATAGATACATTTAACATTTTAGCATAAGCATATTTCATATATTAACTACTCATATAAAAGTACGTAAGTAACGTAAGTACGGAAGTATTTCTATGGCCGTGAAAAAGTTGTCTATTCCACTTATGATTGATATATCACACTCGTGATTTTGTATTTTTTGCGATATTTTGTAAATAAATCATAGAAAATAATCCATTATGAATAATATATCTTAATAATTTTATAAATAATATATCCGTACCAAAATATTTTTATAACAAATATGGTACCAGGGAATTAGTTCAAATAGGCTCGTTCAAAATTCAAATTTTTAACTTTTTTACAATTAACTGTTTTACCACAGTAACATTGTTTTAAATTTATAATAATTCACATTTACATAAATATTTAATTTAATTTATACTTATTATACGTTAAAATTTATTTATAACATTTTAACTTTACCTCTTAGACTAAAATCGCGTTTGTCACTTTCAATATCACTATTTTCGATTGTCGATCGCGAATTTGGCCTGAGGATACAACTAGAATATTTGTCATTGTCGTCCCGATAAGATTTTTCTTCTAAATTTGAGTCGTTGTCAACTACGAATTGAGTCTTTAGTAAAGACATAACATATTAGACTCTGATACAGTTGTAATTATCAAACTCTCATCGAAAAAAACCTGAAACAAATATATAAACAAAGACATTTTGATTTATTGTTGAAACATTTTTTGTTTAATTATTATTTTTTATATTGAATGTTACTTGATCGAAAATCCTGAACAAAAAATACAATTTCCCAGTTCATAAAATATTTTATACCATACAAATAATTTCATATTACATTTAGTTTAGTAAATATAGTTATAGTATATATACTAACTGTTTTAATTGTAAATATTCAAAATTATAGAGCGAAACACAACAATTGAATTTGGAAAGTAATGTTAATAGCATGAATATTAAATCATTAAATAATCATTTGTAATTTATAGCTTATATCAACAACAAATTCCAGACTATACAAGATAATCAATTCCAGACTATATTAGTAATAGGTTATTTATTGTTAAGTATTTTAATTCATAATCGGAACAACTATTATAAACTTCATATAAAACACAAGCATTGAAATAATTAAGAGTTAAAACATTAAATTATTTACGCAGTATTTCACAAAACACAGTTATAAATATTGGTGCAGTTTGTGCAAAACGTTAAATCAAATTAAAACAAACATTAAATGGCGATTTATTTAAACAGATTTCCTGAGAAATACATATGTTTATAGCATTAAGTCATTATTTCTGCACAATTGAAATATATCATAATATATTCAAATAAAATTATCATATAAGTACTATAAATGAATATTGAATTGTATGGAACATTTAATTACAAATACTTGATTTTCTATTTTTATGTTACATAGTTTTCAACCCTCATTAATATCTATATAAATACTATAACTTACGTAGTAGGATCAAAAAGTTCCCGGAATTTATTTATAGAAAAAAATCTATATTTCTTATCAAATATCTGATTATTGGAATTAAAAGTAGACTATTATTAGCTATCTATAGGTTTAGTCGTTAAAAGTACATTAGTCTCATGTGAGCCGTAATTGAGTCCATACGAAACTGTGTTTACGCATTTTTTCAAAATGTCGCAATTTGAACAACGCGCCGCATTCCTAAATCATTTTTTAAAATGTTTTGAACTGAACCATACGATATTCCTAATACATTTACCATATCTTAAATGTGTAAACGACGATCTGATTGCACCAAGTTTTTAACTTTTTCGATTGTTTCATCGTTTTTTGAAATTGATGGCCGGCCACTCCGCTCTTCGTCTTCAAGTGACTCTTGGCCATTTTTGAACCATTTAAACCAATCATAAACGGCTGTTTTCTTTAATGTTTCATCATCATTAACTGTTTTCAAGCATTCGAGCGTTTCTGCGGCAGTTTTTCCAAGTTTAAAACAAAATTTAATATTAGCGCGTTGTTCAAATTGTGACATTTTGAAAAAATGTGTAAACACAGTTTCGTATGGACACAATTACGGCTCACATGAGACTAATTTACTTTTAACAACTAAACCTATATATAGCTAATAATGTCTACTTTTAATTCCAATAATCAGATATTTGATAAGAAATATAGTTTTTTTTCTATAAATAAATTCCGGGAACTTTTTGATCCTACTACGTATAATTTTTATATATCAGACTCTATAATGCAACTTATTGAACTTAAAAAAAATTGATACTATTTATATTTAATATTTGATTATTCACAAATAAAAAATTTCCAAATAAATGTATCGTATATTATAGACAAATTTGTTATACATAGTAAAGCTGATCTTTGAAATTAAATAAAACATATTAACATTAATTTGTTATTTCATGAATAGTTTAGATTTACACGTATATACATTATACATTTTATTATAATTAAAACGTGCATAATGCTTGTTAAACTTTTTAAAATAAGTTCCTCGGTAAACTAATTTATTAAATAATTAAATAACAATAATTGTTTAGTTTATACTTGTATAAATATAATATGATAATATTCTGATCACCGAGATAATTTTAGAAATTAATCGATAATACTTTATTGTATGCATGCTGTATAACAAGACAAGCCGTACTAACTATGACAATTAAAGTTTAAAATTATAATACGAGTATAAAATCCTGATACGTAGTGAAAATAAAGAACACGATGAGAAAAATCTAATGTCTAGATCAATTTTTGGATTTTCTACAGTTTATTTTTGACAAAAATATATTTTTTTTCAACAATATTTTCTAGCGAACTGATATAGATATACTGTACTATTTTTTACTCTTACAATAACACTATAAAATGTTCGCATAATAAAAATCGCAAACCTAAATTAATAAATACTTATTAAAATTTACCAAGCGACTTGAAGTAACGAAATTGTAATGAAGTGTGGGAACGAATTAATGTTGAATGAATTTAATTCGAAACTAGTTGGTCCCCACCTAAAATTAACGGATTAGAAAATATAATGTATCAACAATATTAAAACATAGGAACGAATTTTGCGTTATCTACAAAGAAGCAGACACGGTTTTATTTTATATATTTATTTAATAAAAAAAAAAAAAAAAAATTATAATTAATATTTTAAGGTTTATATTTTAATAATTAACATAATAAAAATTTCGAATTTTTATTGAACTTATAATGTTTTAACTTTTGTAAAATAAAGACATAACATCTTTTTAATGCTTATAAATAATATACATTTCATTAAAATATTTCAAAAATATGAAATGTTTTTAACAAAATTACTTAATATCATTAAATGGAAATTCATCAAAATTTAATTTTGTAACGTTTATAAATTATTTTTGCGACAATCCAGTCTTTTTTGATTTATGGCTCAATTTTTTTCTATAATTAGTAACAGATATGTATGATTATGTACACATAATACGAGTAGAATACTATGACAAGGAATTAATTTCAAAAATATAAAAAACATGATATAAAATTGATGGTATTTTTTCCAAGTTCTCTAAATGATCAAATAACCAAAATTTAAATAGTACTTCACTAATTAAATTTTGAATATTTATAAATATTTAATTAATTAAAACATTTACCTATCGGTTAAACTATATACATTAATTAACAATATTCTATAATATCTTATAATATTCTAATAATATTATAATCTATAAATTCTTAAAATTAATTTCTAATTTCTAAATGAACCAAATGTAAGAAATTGTTTTTTATCAATGATAGATACGAATAAATATATTGTGAAGGTATGTTGATAGTTAAGTGTGAAGAACTTAGTATTACATTTTTTAGAATTGTAGTCCATCAAAATTTTCATTTTCATCAAAATCGACATTTTCGAAAAAAATTATCCCTCGAAAGTATGTACCAATTAAGACCTTTTTAATCTCTTACTTTTTATTTGGTGTTGATCAGAGCCCACCTTCTGGTCAAAATAATGTACACAGTCACAAAAAAAAAAAACACCCAGTAAAACCATAATATTTCTCGTTTCATTAAGAATCTAAAATAATAATGTCTGAACAATTTGTTCCCATGGCGTATCGGTTAGTTTTTAGGGAATTCAACAAACAACTATTATAATACATATTTCATAGATTGTGAGAAACCGATGTTACTTTAGTGTTACATTATATATTTTGTCACAATTAATCACAATTATATTTAGAAATAAATTATTAATATGTATTTGCTTAAAGATCTTATATATTGCTATCTTAATAGATAATGTATATTGAAACCATTTAAGTTAAAGATCAATCATTATTATTTTTATTAAGCGTATTCCTTACATAATCTTAAATTAGTTATTATTCTCTTAACATACATAACGCAAAAAAAAAAAAATTAATAAAATAATTTTATACTTTAAAAACCTAACCAGTTTTGTCTAATTAAATTACACAAACCAAATATTTGGCATTAATTATATGTTATTATTATTTAATATTGTGTTTGGAAACTCCTTTAGGAAAATTTAATAAAATTATCAAAAACTCATATATGGCAAATTATCAAGCTACAAATTAGTTTCATAGTGTGTACAGTTGTCTAAACATTATAATAAATAATCAACAAAAGTTATTCACCATCGACATTATACCTGCGAAAAATATAGTCTAAATTACAATAAATTTTAGATTTATGTTAAATAAATATTATTTAATTTCATATTATTTTTATACATTTTGAATATTTGTGTAAATTTTTAAAATTTAAACCCAAGGTTATTTAAAATAATCCTAATTAGGCATATTCATTACACTTCAAAAATTGAACTCATTATATCTTTTATATACACATACCATTTGGAAACGATAAAAACATGTAATTAAAGTTAGCTTTGCAATGATTTATAGTTTTTTTTTTTTAATTTACAATGGAGTAAAACACACAGAAAGGAGACTATTCTACCTGTTATTTTTAAATTATTAACTAAAATGAAAAATCCAGTAAAAAGTTTCAATTAAAAAAATATTAAAAATATCTTAGATTATAAAAGTGAACAATTTACTAACAGTTATATTCCTATGAATTCTTATCATAAATCAATTTGAGATGGCATAAATAATTTTTGAAGAAATAATTAGGTATATTCTACGAGTATACCTACTAGGTATGTCAATATCCCACATATATTTATATTAAACTTTATAATATATTAATAATTTTTGGTAATCATAATTTATTGATGACTGACTAAAAAGTTAAATTCAATTATAGCATAAGTATTATAGATGAATGACAATTAAAAAATTGTTACTATAGGATATGGATATCGAAAAATATAATTTGTACAAAATCTGTTGATAAGTACAATAAATAATTATTGTAGAAAATATTGCTAGTAAAATAATTATGTAGGCCATAAGCCAAATTGATCAGATATTCAAAGTTTATTTAAAAAATATAAATAAATGAACATTTTATATGATCACATCTGAAATTTGTTTAGTCTCCATCAAACAAACATAAGACTCAGCAGTTATAATAAAAATGTGTAAATTGAACTGTCTATACTAAAATACACGTAAAATAACTACAATCAGCACATTTCTAGAAAATGAATAAAAATATTAAAATGTTTACAATATTGCAAAATTATAAA